GTACATATTCTAGTCCAAATCATGTCTCATTTGCATGCATTTTAGGTTTTTAAGCATTGTTTTAGGACTTAGGAGATTGCATTAGGTCCAAGAGAGTTTTGCATGTTTTGGAGTGTTAAACAGGTGCTTTTGGAGTTTATTTGGAGTGGAGGATGTGATTCAGATGAAGAAATGGAGTTGAAATGATCAAAAATGGTGAAAAGGAGCAATTTTGGGTTTCTCGGCAAAATGATGTACTGATGGCCGAAGATTCTCGGCCAAAATCCTTCCCGCGGGTAGTTTTCTCGGCCAAAAACACGTACCGAGGTCAAGTCTCTCGGCCAAAAATCCGGGTGCAGATACATTTCCGAAATTGCGTCACCGGAAGCTCTTGCCGGCCGATTCAGCTTACAGGGTCTTCAGAAAAGTTGGAGATACTTGAGTCAACAACCCAGGACAGGTTGAATCAGGGCATTTGGAGCACTGATCTGAGAGATACGGTCACCGGAAGACAGACCTCTCTCGCATCCATTCCGGAGCAATCCAATACTCCTGAATGATCGCCTGTCCGGGGAACCTTCCGGTCCGATTCAGTTGTCGGAGGCTTCATCATATTTGGAGAAGATTGGATCATGGTTCCAGAGCAAGTAGAATCATGGAATTCGGACGCGTGAACAGAAAGTTAAGCTCGTCGGAAGGAACCCCTCTCTCGCTGCTGTTTTTGACCAAGCCGATGAGCTCTGAAGAATGCGAAGGACGGTGTACTTACAGGCCGATTAAGTGTCCAGGGCCTTCATAAAAATCAGAGACCCTTGAGTCCTCTTTCCAGAATGTCCCAGATCATTCAATTCGGAGCTATGAGAAGGAAGATACGGTCTCCGGAATGGGCACATGTCTAGACGCCTCTCTCTGATCGTGTTAATGCAATGCAAAGATGAGCCCTCCAGGAAGACTTCCACTTCCCACGCACCAAATCTTCCTTTACCAAAGTTGGAGATATATGAGTCCTCTGTCCTATGCAACCAGAATCACTCAATTCGGACAAGTATCGTAGAAGTTACACTCTCCGGAATGCGAAGTGGTCCCAGCTGCTCTGAGTGCTGCGAGAAAGCCTTGCGACTTGGTTAACTCGCAGGCCTGAAGACGAGTGCCTGGAAATTGATGCTGCGAGTTGAGAAGTGCGGGTAAGCTATCAATGGATGAGGTCTGAGGCTCCCGAGCAAAAAAATTGCTAAGTCCACAATGCTGCGACTTGGGCATGCTACCTGGGAGACACTGGAACCAAGCCGCATGATCACTCGCAATATACTCCGACTTGAGCCTGCGACCTGGGACTAGGGATGAACAAGTCGCACATGTACAGTCCCCAGAAACCGCCTTGGTCCTGCGAGTTGAAGAAGAAGAAGATTAAGCCGCACAAAGACTCGCAAAACACTCCTACTTAAGTCTAAGACAAAGCGATTTAAGTCTCACAAGACCAGTTCTTCATCTACTGCAACTTGGGCATGCTACCTGGGAGACACTGGACCAACCCGCAGTAATTCCACTTTACCCACTAAAACCGGGTCAGGACCCGGTTTGTTCCGGGCTGACCCGGTTCATTAGCACTTAGTATATATAGCTTTTTGGAGAAAAACCCTAGACATGTTATCTTCTACTTAGTTTTCTCTCTATAGTTTTCTTTCCTTTTTAGTGTAAAACGTTTTTGATTAAGAGATATCTGAAGGGATTTGATCATTCCAAGTCTGTTTCCTATCATCTCATCATCTCATTTCTGCTTCTAATCATGATTAACATCATCTCTTGCAAAAGATTAGATGTGTTCTTCATGATTAGTGAGTAGTCATCTTTTAAACTTCTAGGTGTGTAGATTAGGGTGCTTAGATGTTTGATTGGTGATGTTTAGTGTTTAGATTCTCATTCCATTTCCTTAGTTAGCTGCTCATAATGCCAGATTTCCTTGGGAAAGTGAAATCTGGGTTCATAGGCATTTCATGCACCAAAAGTGTTTGATGAAATGCCTGAATGAGCTAACTTAAGGGTTTATGCCTTTTTCATCATGGGAATGATTTGTTAAATGCATGAATGACATATTAGAACTGTTTCTTAATGCTCATTGATTCATATTTCACAAATGATGATTTGGTTTGAAAGTGGATTAGTGTAGAGATTAATGCCTTCATGAGAGGATTAGTCTAGATTAGAGTTCTAAGTTGAAATGTTTGAGATCATGTGATTGCTTGTTATGTCTTTCTGTATAAGATTCAGTCTTCTTGGTTGAGAGATTGTTTGGTCACTTATTAGGCTTGATGCATTATGCTTGCTGATTGCTTGATTATATCTAATGGTTGTTAGACTTGATTAAGTGATTTGCAAAGGGATTATTGTCATGGGAATGAATTAATCTGATTAAGAAGCCTAGACTAAAGAGTAGCAAGTGTTGCATTATGTTCTTAGCATCATGATTCAATATCTAAAGCACCTTAATCAATGATCACATCTAGAGGTTTAGCTTTTATCATTTGCTTAATCACCATCATCTTGTTTTGTTTGCTTGCTTAGTTCATTAATCATAGCTTGTTTGTTTCTTGTTTTATGCTTTCTTGTTACTTTGTTCACACCAAAACTCATCTTTGATTACTTGACTTAAGAACCTATCACATAAACTAGTGCCTAACTACCACACATATGGATTGACACCCCTTATACTACAAGTGACATAAGGGATTGATAACCCATCTAAGACCTAAAAATCTTAGTTATCAATTGGCGCCGTTGCCATATTGTGTGGGGATTGTTAGCATTAGTTTCTGATATAGTTTTTGAGATCAAGTTTCTTTTTATTTACTGATCACCTTTCAAGTTCTGTCTTTTTTTTCAGGTGTATGATCACAAGAAGCCAAGCCAGAAGACAAAGAGAAAGAGCTGTTCACTTGGAGAGGTTAGGAATGAATCAGCAAGTTGGGAATGAACATCAGGCTCAAGAAGCTGATCAAGGTCAAAGAGCTGGTAATGGGATTGGAATTCAGGCTCAACAGGCTCAGGTCCATCAGGGACACGCTCAAGGTAACCAGAACCAAGACCGACCTCAGGTTAATCCACCACAGCCCCACCCAAACCCACCCATACGTCATCAGCCCCAACCAGTCTTTGTTGGTGAGAATGACCGAGCTTATGCACACCAGTATGGAGCAGGAATCAGGCCACCTCCTGTCCAAAACAACAACTTTGAGGTGAAGGCCTCTTTAATCAATATGGTTCAGAATCAGAAGTTCCATGGCTTACCTATGGAGGATCCCTTGGAGCATCTGGATCAGTTTGACAGAGTTTGTGATCTCACTAAGATCAATGGGGTATCTGAAGACAGCTTCAAACTGAGATTGTTCCCATTTGATATGTTCATAATTTGCATCATTTAGGTTGCATAAATCATTCCAAATCATGTTTTATTTCATGTATTTTAGGTCCCTAGGGTTTGTTTTAGAACTTAGGAGATGCATTAGGTCCCAATGAGTCTTTGCATGTTTTGAGTGTCTATCAGGTGATTATGGAGCTGAAAAGATGAATCCAGGAGGTGGAATGGTGAGCAGAGCTTGAAAAAGTGGAAAACTTGAGTCTATGGAGGTTATCGGCCATTCTCGCTGGCCAGGAAGGTTTTACCGGCCATTTTCATGTACCGCGGGAAGCTTTACCGGCCATTTTCACGTACCGCGAATTAAGTATATCGGCCAAAATCTCCGGGTGCGAACGAGTCTCAGAAATCACCTGTCCGGGGAGCCTTCCGGTCCGATTCAGAAGGCGGGTCCTTCATAGAAGTTGGAGAGCATTGAAGCACGGTCTCATAGCAATTGGAATCGTAGAATTCGGACGCGTGAGCAGAGAGATAAGCTCGTCGGAAGAAACCCCTGTCTCGCAGGTATTCCGGACCGAGCAGATCAGTTCTGAAGGATGCGAAGGACGGTGCACTTCCAGGCCGATTCAGCTTCCGGGTCCTTCATGAGAATCAGAGACATTTGAGTTTTCTTTCCAGAACGTCCAAGAGCATTCAATTCGGATCTATGAGCAGGAAGATACGGCCTCCGGAATGGACACATGTCTAGACGCCTCTCTCTGGTCGTATACATGCACTGCAAAGATGTGCCCTCCAGGAAGCCTTCCACCTCCCAAGCACTGAAACTTCCTTCACAAAAGTTGGAGATAAATGAGTCCTCTGTCTTCTGCAACCGAAATCATTCAATTCGGACAAGTATCACAGGAGTTACACTCTCCGGAATGCGAAGTGATCTAAGCTGCTCTGGATGCTGCGAGATGGTCTTGCGACTTGGTTAACCCGCAGGCCTGAAGATGAACACCTGAATGCTGATGCTGCGAGTTGAAATGTGCGGGTAAACTATCACTGGAAGAGGTCTGGAGCTCCCGAGCAAGAGAAATGCTAAGTCCACAATCGTGCGACTTAGGCATGCGAGTCATCCGCGCCTGGATCTATGCCGCACGATCACTCGGAATTCACTCCGACTTGAGCCTGCGACCTAAGTGCAATAGAGACCAACCCGCACAGTTTCTACATCCCCCAGAAACCGGCTCAGCCCTGCGAGTTGGAGAGGAAGGAGACCATGCCGCAGAAACACTCGCAATTTACTCCTAGATAGGCGTGCGGCTCCGACAAGGTGATTCAAGCCTCACAAGACAAGTCTTCATCTACTGCGACTTAGGTGTGCGGCCTGGGACATACTGAACCGACCCGCAGCTTTTCCCACTTTATCCATTAAAACCGGGTCAGGACCCGGTTTGTTCCGGGCTGACCCGGTTCGTTTTTAAAAAGGTATAAATACTTTTTAGGGTTTTTTGGGGGAGAACTAAGTTTTATTCCCTTTGTCTCTTGCCTTTTTGGTGAAAAGACTCCATTAAGAAGAGAAATATCTTTATTTGAGTGTTTAATCAAGAGAGTTTAAGGAGATCTGGGTGTTTAAAGCTGTTTTCTTTTGAATCTATCATCTCCATCTCCATTTCTCATCATTAAT